CCCGCCAGCCCTTAGGGATCACCTCAGCCCCGGCACTGCCCCGCAGGGACCTGGTGGATCCCTGGCCCTCCCTTATTTCACTAGCGAGTGGCGAGCGCAGCAGTTGTTCGCGTGGGTTTTTGTAACCTGGTGGCGGTGGGGTGGCGTGGCGGATGAGTACGGGATCGCCGACCCCAAGCTGTTGGATTCCTAAAGCAAAGCGAGAAGGTTATTGCGCCCATCCCGCTTCATCCCCCTCCTCGGTGTTGCAGCTGTGGTCTGGGGAGTTGCAGTGGCTGGAGGCTGTGGACGCATTGGCAGGTGTATTAGTGCTCCGAGAGGGTCCCGCGTGTTGTTTTGAAGGATGCGTTCTGGGAAGCGCCAGCGAAAACTTTCTGAATGTTTGTCGTAACGTTTGCGTGCTGACTGGTGGTTCGTTGCAGGTTCTGCGCTTGAAGAAGAAAACCTCGCTAAAGCAGGCGTTTGCACTCAGCCGGTGAGTAGTTCGACATCAAGCCGGATAAATAAAGCAGAGTGCAAGGCATTAAAAACGCTTAGTTGATTCTACAGACTGTGCCAGAAAACATATATGGTAAAAGAATACTTCTTACCAAAGAAGGTCTTTTAACTGTGGAAGGAAGACTTTCAGAGAACTGAAAGGCCTGTAGGATGTGAAGAAGAGAAAATCTTTTTGATACTGGTCAGCTAGAAAGGGGCATTACAGGTATTGCCCTTAAACCCGTCCCCTCTGCAAGATGCGTTTGTGGTTGTCTGCTTCAGCATAGTTTCGGGTAAGGGAACAGTGGAAAGTGTTATGGGGTAGTAAAGCACCCCAAAGAGAAAACTATGCTGCAGCAAGAACTGAAGGTGTTGGCAGCTTCTTGCTGGCCAGTCCTAGTAGCAAAGACAGAATTAGGTGGTAAAGAAGGAGGGAAGAAGTAATGCCGTGTAAAGTTTTTGGGCAGAAAGAAGTAGAGGAAGGAGTAAAAGTTTAGTTTCTTCAAAAAGACAGTTCTGTTTCTTCACCTTTTATTTGATGTCTCTGAAGCCCTTATTCTTGACCAAGCCGAGGGTCACATCCTCGGTGTGTGTCCCAGCCTGTTGGCCACAAACCTGGGACCTGGTCTGTGTCTGAGGATATCTGGGATATGAGTCAAGGAGATTGGCTAGATATATGATGGTGGGTGAAATAGCAGGTTTTAATTACTAACTTGTTTCCTGTAGAGCACCGACGCCCAGAGAAAGCTGTCTGTGTGCTGCAGGTAAGACGTCTTGGATTATTAATTCAATGTGAGATGAAACTTCACTGACCTGAAACAAATATTTCACGTTTTGACTGTTTGTGTTGCCTTTTGAATTGTTTTCAGCCGCGTTTGGGCTGGTTGAATAACCTGGGCTGGTACCATCCCGCTTCTACCAGTACTTTTGTTCTGGCCTTTTCTTCCGTTTCCTATTACTCTGTTCTAGGCTAAGCAGATGCTCCTAGTCAAGTTAGGCTGTGGAGCAGTTTCAGCCAGACGCTATTCCCTCTATTACTGCCCAGGAACTGACTTACACGTGCGTGGGGTCACGCTTTAACATTTATTGAGCTGGTGGAGTCCGCTGTAGCAATTTAAAATAGCATTTCGTTTTGCTGTGGAGACAAACTGTAACTGAGTGCCTTAGATCCTTGGAGTTCAGTTTCTCTTTGCTGTTCTGAGCTTCGTTTATTAAAGTGAAGGCTCTTCAGGGTTTCATTTTACTCTGGAGAAGGAAATATAAATAAAAGCTGATACCGTTTTGATTTGGTTTCCTAGCACATGAATATTTGAACAGGGCTAGATTTAAAATTAGGTGGGGCTCAGATCCATCATAATACCATCTCTGCCATCATGTACAAGGAGACAGATGCAACGTTTCATTAGTATCCTCACTGTCCACTGGTACTGACAAGTCTGTCTTTTTTTTTTTTTTTTTGGTTTGCCTGAGAATTCAGCTGGGAAATGAGTCACCTTTAATCTCTTCCTCCCTTTTTTTTCGCTTGCTGTAACCAACTGTGAATTGTAATGGACTTGCTGTGATATGCAGGCTGCCTAAATGGGGCAGAGACCTCCTGAAGCCTTACCCTGCCTTGCCCTCTGTGAGGGCAAAGAGCTACGGACAAATTCTTACCCCCCTGCATGGATTTCTGGGCGCTCACCACACCCGTAGCTGCTTGTCAAAAGAAGGGCTGTCTACCGTTTGGCTGGAAACACGTTTGCTCTGCTTTTGTTTTAAGGTGATGCGCTCGTGAGTTGCCACAGACACTACAAATCCCGTCCTACACATGGCATTGGGAAGTTTAAGTATCTACTCCCACCGGAGGTAGGCATAAGAACTCCCCTACCTTTGCTTGCTTTCAGTTGACCGATCTATTTGAGATGCTGGTACTGTTAATTTCATGGTTGATGAAACTTATTAAGAAGGGAGAAGGTATTTCTTCTAGCAAGATAGCAGGTTTACTGCTACTTCTCTCAGCAGAGACTGTTATATCCCATAAAATACCCACTGACAGCACATAGATACCTTTTTGTGTGCTGTACGTTGTTTAAACTTCTAAGTAATTTGGGAGGGATGTTCCTAACGTTGATTGAATTTAACAACGCAACTTCAAGTTATTGTTGAATATTGTGAGCAGGTCTTACTTGCCTTTAAACTTTTTACATTCCCTGAAATTTGGAAAGAAGACTGTTTCCTCATTCTTCAAATACTATAACTCATCTTGACAGCTGCCTGGAAGGCAGGACCTGAAATAAAAGCAGTTTGTTTCCTACTGGTTGGTTTCTTCTGGAAGACATTAATCGTGGTGTGCGTGTGTTTTCTGCGTGACTTCAGTGGTGCTGCCATACAAGAACTGAACTGCTGTATTTCAGAACATCTGTTAAGATAATGTCACCCCAGTTTTGTAGTCAGGATAAGTGAGTGCAGGTGGACTATGGTGGTTTGTTTTTTTAATATAGTTCAACAGACCCTTGTCAGAAGAGAGTACCCTAACCACCAGCCTAATCTCCCGCATTAGGCAAGAGTTAATACTTTTTATTTCGAGCTGTGTCCAAAACAGATCTGCTCTTAGGTAGGCATAAGAACTCCCCTACCTTTGCTTGCTTTCAGTTGACCGATCTATTTGAGATGCTGGTACTGTTAATTTCATGGTTGATGAAACTTATTAAGAAGGGAGAAGGTATTTCTTCTAGCAAGATAGCAGGTTTACTGCTACTTCTCTCAGCAGAGACTGTTATATCCCATAAAATACCCACTGACAGCACATAGATACCTTTTTGTGTGCTGTACGTTGTTTAAACTTCTAAGTAATTTGGGAGGGATGTTCCTAACGTTGATTGAATTTAACAACGCAACTTCAAGTTATTGTTGAATATTGTGAGCAGGTCTTACTTGCCTTTAAACTTTTTACATTCCCTGAAATTTGGAAAGAAGACAGTATTTGAAGAATGAGGAAACAATAACTCATCTTGACAGCTGCCTGGAAGGCAGGACCTGAAATAAAAGCAGTTTGTTTCCTACTGGTTGGTTTCTTCTGGAAGACATTAATCGTGGTGTGCGTGTGTTTTCTGCGTGACTTCAGTGGTGCTGCCATACAAGAACTGAACTGCTGTATTTCAGAACATCTGTTAAGATAATGTCACCCCAGTTTTGTAGTCAGGATAAGTGAGTGCAGGTGGACTATGGTGGTTTGTTTTTTTAATATAGTTCAACAGACCCTTGTCAGAAGAGAGTACCCTAACCACCAGCCTAATCTCCCGCATTAGGCAAGAGTTAATACTTTTTATTTCGAGCTGTGTCCAAAACAGATCTGCTCTTTTTTTTTTTTTTTTTAAATACAGGCTCCAAAGAAGAGAAAAGATAGAATACAGATGAAAGAGATAAGTGTTGGGACTGAATATGAATACGGAGATGTCAACATTCAGATGACTTCCTATGATATGTGTCTCGTGGAGCGCTTTGCTCAATACGTGCATAAACTCTGCAACCGACTCTCCGTTAGGGTCAATGAAAGGTATAAAGAACGTGGCTCGGTGTGTTTGTCATCCCTTGCGGTTGCAGTGCATCAGGCTGTGTGAAGCTCGTAGTTGGTGATCCCTTGCAGACAAGGACGCGATACAGTCTTGTGCTGGATACACACACGTAAATCTGAATCTTCTGTCGTCTGCCTGGTGTTCTCTTTTAGCTGTCTTGTTTGTACAGTTTTGGACACTTATTCATGTAAGGCTGAAATAGAATTGTTAGGACACTGAATGAACAAATCTCAGGGAAAAAATAGCTGTTATTTTTCATCCCTTTGAGAAAGTGCATAAGCCTGTGGGTGCTGAGCCTAGAAATGCAGGCACGAGTGTTGCTGAGTTTTTCCGCTGTTTTTTCTTTCTGTCATTTCATCCAGGTTCGTTCTTCTGTGTGTATGTTGTGGAGCAGGTGGGGGTTATCATACAGACAAGCTAGAATGAGCCGAGGAAGCCCCTGAGGTGAAGACTCTGGGAGAGCTACGTGCACCTCTAATTTAGGTGTAGGTGCTTTAGCAGAGGATGCCTCAGTCGCACACGAGCTCTCTGAAGCGGGTGTACCCCCTGTAGCAGCTTTGCTGGTGTGAATGAGTCTAAGGAACATGGTAGAGCTCGTTGGTTCCTGCAGTGCACCCAAGGAGCTGTAGTCACTGGGAGAAACACTGTGTCGCTGTACTAAAGTAAAACAGTTAACGGTCTGGAGAGTTACCCGAATTATCTGAAATGCGTAGCTTTAACTGTACCACTGAGTATGAACACTGGTTCCTGCTTCATGCTTATTAAACCTGTTGCAAAATCATTTTCTTTACATTTGTCCACCTTGCTGAACTGTCTGCTTTGGATCTGAAATCCTGTGTCCATAGATCAGTAGCATATAGTCTCTCTCTGTGACACGTCAGTGACTTTGATAGGGCTCCGTTTCAAGGATACGCAGTGACACTAAGAAATAAAAACGCTGTCAACTGTGATGAACTTGAAAGCATACACAGAGAAATCCTACAGCCTGAGACTATTTATAGCACTTTCAATGTCAAGCATTATTACCCGGTATTGTACTTCTGCCCTCTGAGGTTGGACTTGGTGCGCAAAGTTCAGTGCGTGCAGAAGGATTCAGTTTGTTTGAGAAAACTGGACCGGGGCAAAATGTGGGAGAAGAGAGTATTTTTGATGCTCTCTGCAGATCAGAGAACTGAGGCAGGTAAAGGTTGTATGGTCTGCTCAAAGTTGCACAGGAAATCTGTAGCAGACATGGGTAGTGAACCCACATGCAGTGAGTGTCCTGTGCCTCAAGGGTAAAATTGTCGCCTTCTGCAGGCAAAAGGCAGTGTCAGCGGTGCAGACAGTAGGACATAGTCTGTTGTTATTGATACTGTGAAAATCAGATGGGGAGGCTGAGGTCTGCACATTAACACGGGTAAAAGGAGAACAAATATGGTGCGTGATCTTACGCCTGTTAAATTCACATAGGTGGAGATAAGGTCTTCTGAGTGGTATGTTGCAGCAGTGTTTCTTAGCTGCCTTCCTGGCCAGCGGGAAGGGTATAACTGCTGAGGAGGATAAATACACTATTACAAAACAAGTCATCACTTTTGCTTTGCAGCTCTCCTTCAGCAATAAAGAAATTAAATGAAGTTCTTAGGCTGGTACTTAAAGCTGAAAGAGGTCTTTGCTGGCAATAGTGCTGCCAGCTTCTGCCTTATCTCTTTCCAGTAAAGCACCCGGCTTCTGCCAGTGCTTGATTTGCAAGATGCATTGTTTGCATAATTAATTCCTCATGAAAACTTAATCTTCTTCCACATTCTCTGCTGTTGGAAGTTGATTCATTCCTGTAAAGTAATGCAAATCTATCCTCCCTGTCCTGAATACTGACCTATGGTTTCTGCAGCTACGCAATGCCCACCAAGACCAATGAAGTGCTGTTCTTGGAAGAGCGAGGTTCCAAAATGCAGCTGGATGCAGTCCTTACTACCCACCAGAGGGTTGTCCAGGTATGAGCTGGTGTTTGCTGATAGCGCTCCTGTTCTTGTGCAGCACCTCATATTTCAGGCTCTCAAAACCCATTAACAATAGCAGTTAAGTCCCTTGATCAAAAGGAAGGCATAATTGTGTGTAAATTGACGCACTAAGAAGTCTAATTAGATTTCTTGCTAAAGGTTACTCACAAAGTAGAAGACAGATGGGATTCCTGGACTCTCAGTCTCAGCCATAAGATTTATTATCTATTTTATGTTGAATCCTAGATACAAATGGTAGATAAGTCATGTTTAAGGATAAATGATTGCACAAACATGACCAAAATTAGAAGTACCATCAGTATCACGACTGGTTTCAAAAGTGCCCAAGTAACCATTGAGATAAACAGGTATTTCTCCTAAGCGCCTTTTCTTCTTGTTAGTGTGTTCACTTGCTGTATGCTAGACCTCTGTGGAGTTAGACTCTAAACCTACAGGTAGACGTTTTTCCCTGGAGAGAGTTGATGTGAGATTAACACTGGGGTTTGCGGGTTTGCCCCGACTACTTTTGCAGTAGAGCGTCTCACCTAAATTAAAGAAGATCTTAATGCACGTTTAAGTCTCTTTGCATGTACTTCCTGCATCTACGCAACATGGAAAAGAGGCAAGAAATGTATTTTTACTGAGCAAGAGAACGATGGTGGCTGCATACAGCAGAACCTGCGGTGGTGAAAGCTGTCACACAGACAGAGGAGACAGTGCTTGTAGAGGAGAGCCAAAACGAGAGCTTTGGGCTGTGCTGTGTATGAGAGGTGTGCACACTGGAGTAGGGAGTGCTTCTCTAATGAAGTGATGGACTGCCACAGGCCTGGGAGATGAACTCTCTTCCTGAGCCGTTAGTATAGCGAGTCCATTTTATATTTGGTGTTTTGCTCCTGCAGTACTTTATTTCTACTTTCAGATCAGCGGTTTGAGTTCGACATTTGCTCCGATACTCTTGGAAGTTATTCAGAGTAATCAGCCTGAAGGGGTCCATCTGCTAGTGAAAGAGGTATGTTTAATTTTACCAATGCAGAAAAAAAGATGCAAAAAAAAGAAAGAAAGAAGGAAAGCAGTTACTATGCAAAAGATGGATTTGCTTTGAAACTACAGACCTTGTCCTGAGACTGCCAGTGTCTACTGTTGATTTTCAGATATCCCGCATCTCCCAGAAGCGGGCCTCACTTAGTCTGTGGGGAAAAAAAAAAAAACCAATACTGGTAATCTGATTTGTTTTGTTTTCCATCTGGAAATGAAAATAAGTAGGGCCACGGAAGGTACCTTCCCAGGCAATTCCATGTATCTCTAGGAGATGGCAGGTGGCAAGCCGCTTTCCTTTGCTCTTGCAGATTCCCTGTGGCTCAGGAGGGAATGCTTTCCTGTAACAGAGCTCCACAGCTTCTTTTCTGGGAATCACCAGGAACATCATGGAGCAGTTGGTAGTAAAGTGAAGACTCAAAACCCAAATCCTGGGTCCTACTCTCATAGAATTCGCTCTGGGTGCGGTTATGCGTGTCTTCCGCAGAACCTTTTACCAGTTTCCAGAGCATGAGGACCTCGGGACAGAGCTTTGCTGCTTACTAGACTGGGGATAGGGAGATATTTAAACCCTTATTGTTTTACATTCAGACAAAACAGTCCCAGGAAGCCCTGTTTATTCAAGGACTAAAAGATATTGCAGCTGGAAGATGCATTAAATTCAAATGTGAAAACACAGTTGGCTTCTTAGTGGCCTTTGAAGAAGGTTTAGTTATCTGCAGCTCTGCAAAAACAGAGGGAATATAGGAAAAGGCCTCCCGAGTCCAGTAATGTTCTCTGCTTTGGTAACAGTCCTGTCTCTCTGCCATAGGGCTGCCATTTCTTTTGTAATTTTGGCTAATGGTTCTTGTCTCTGGAGGGAGAACTGTGACATTGTGCCATCTGCAAAGTCATTGCAGTCTGATGCAGGAAGCCCAGGAGAGAGACCCAAGTTGGTCTCCATAAGACTGGCCATGGAGAAAAGAGGTTAAGGCTTTGGGATGCTCTCTTAGGAAGTTCTGGAGAGAAAGTGGCAGCTTTCCTCAAGAAAGTAGGTACTATGGTGATAGGCAGTGGCAGAGGTGGAGATGTCCGGTTGACTCTCTTAGCATAATGCAGTGCTCACTCTTCCAAAATACAGTCTCTCACTTGGAAAAAATATATTTTGGTTTGGTAGCTGCACATAATAACTGTTTATTGGCTTGCACTGTTTTTTTCTTTGCTATGTAATTTTTGCATCGTAAGGAGCTCGTAATCTCTAAGCTGCAGCTGGTAACTCCGACAGCAGAATTACAGCAGTTAGCTAGGTAAAGCAGCAGTCGGCAAGGCAGAATTTGAGAGCAGCCTTAGCACACTGCGTCTGCGCCTGTGCGGTGACCAAGCGTGCCTGTGACCGTGGTTCTTGCTCGCCGCTGGAAGCGTTCTGCCCTCTGTGCTTACCCCTCTGACCTCTGGGAAGCTGCTTCTGTTGGAGGCTGGCTATAAGAGAAAGGAGGCTCGGACTTCTCTCACCATGTTCAGATGCTTTTTTGATCTTAGCCTGCCATGACTTTCTGTTTCCCGACAAGTCCCAGGCTTCCCACTACCTAGGTTCAGTGGACATTTAAGTCTGATGTTTTTTACTCTTCAGTACTTCTCCTTGGGAGAGGATTGGTCTTTCTCTTGATTTGGAAAAGCACTCGGGAGGTGATTTTGATTTGGGTTTTTTCCTCTCTCCACAGCACACAGAAGCAGACTTCAAGATCCGATTAAAGGCTCGACCAGAACTTGAAGAGCTGCTAGCGCAGATGAACTGAGATGAGGAATAATCCATCCATTTCAGAGCCATCTCTGGGAAACGGAAGCTTCTCTTTGGCTGCTTGAGCCTCCAGAAAATGACTGTGAGCACTGTACTTATAAGTTTGTGACTTGGAAGAAATTTGCACTGTCATCAGGCATCTTCTTTTAATAAAGACAAATGCATGTGTTTATCTGGCTGGTCTGTAGTCTGAGGGAAGAGGGTCCCCAGTGAAATGTGATTCTGCTCGTTTCAGTTCCTCCTGTTTCTGCTTGTTTTCTTTTAGTCCATGAGGATTTCTGCAAGTTGCAGTCTGCAGAAATCTCTGCAGGTTGATAATGCTAACCTGTACTGTTTGCTTAGGCAAAACTCCACTGAAGTCTAGAATTGGAAGCTTAAGAGCCAACCGTGCTGGAGTCTTTCCATGGGCTTTGGTAGGAGCTGAGTCTGATAGAAGAGGGTATAGAGACAGTTGAAGCAGCAGGCAGCGAAGGTCGTCAGGCTTGTGACAGAGGAAGGGTCTGTTGCCTTTTGTCAGTCTGAGAGGTGATTGCCAGCAAGGACACTGCTGTTTTGAGGAACCTCTTTCCTCCTGGACTCCAGCTGTGGTTAGCACAAACTTCTCCCAGACACCCTGTCTCCCATTGTTGCACCCAAATTCTCCCACATGCTGTTGATGTGGAAGTGACTGTCCTGCTCCTTTCTTCAACTGAAGGCTGAAACAATGTGTTATTCTTGCAGAGCTGCTTAGATCAGAGCTTTGCCAACATGAATGGAGCCCTCGGAGCCCTGGGAGGGTTGAGGATGACTGTCCCCACGCAGCTGAACAATCACTGCTTAACAGAACAATGCCACAGAGGCCAGTGACAGGAAGGCTGGAGCTATTCATCGGGCTGTGTATGCAAAATTACTCCTTGACTTGCCTTCCCTTAATTTCTTCCTTTCAAGGTATAAAGGATAAACTTTCCCCTGGATCCCTTAAGTCAAGTCTACTATCTGCAGCAGCCATTTGGAAAAGGAAGAAGTGCTGTTCTTTCAAAGGACACATTTTTAGAAGTGCGAAGCGGTTTGGGGAATTTCCCAAGACGGTGCCAGATATCCATGCTTGGGCAGGGGGAGTTGGTAAAATCTGAATCTGATTCTCAAACAGTAGTTTTACGCAACTGAGCCTTCCCGTTTGTTAGAGGGCGCATACGCCATATATTGCCACTGATGTGAGAGTACAGTTAGGCCAAGGCTGTCCCTGAAGGTAGACCTATAAACTCAGCCTCGCTGTTATGATGAGTCAGATCTGAGGTTTCCAAAAATTTCCTCTATAGATGATGAGGCGGTGGGCATGGATTGCGCTGGCAAAGCTTGGGGCCGGCCAGCTGGGTGTAGGTGGCGCTACGTGGTATCCTGCTGAGAGGTGCCAAGGATGTCGTCATCAAGAACCATCTTGATCTGATTTACCGGTGGATTTGGGGATTGGGTATCTGCTGCTGGTACTGGGGTGGAAGGAGCAGCTGCCGTTGCAGGGAACAGCAGAGATTTGGGAGGGCTTGTGCCCTTGTGGAAAAACAGGCCACCTGCGCTATGAGGCTTCTGCGTTTAGGCACCTGGTTTTGACATTTCTAGGCTCTACCGCAGGGAAGACAGTCAGATTGCTGATTTCCCAGCGCCTCTGACTGCTGCGGTAAAGCACGGGGACGTGTCGGCTGTGTTTGGGAAACGGGATGCTGCTGCGTTATACAAAAGCTATTCACAGGGGCTAGAGCCCGACAGCTACGCGCCCGCACACGAATACTGATCAGCCCTGATGCACTGCCAGGATTTAACAAGAGGCTGCATGTCTCCCTCCTTCCTTCCCCAGCCTGCTGCCTGGGCGGGAGCCGTGCCGAGGGCCGCAGGGCTGAGCAAGCCCCGCGGTTGCCTGGCTTCTTCAGCCGCTTGCTCTGTCCTTGCAGAAACGCAGAGGAGCCGCAGCAGAGCGTTTTGCTGGGGTGGTTTTGGGTGCCTGTACGAACACTGAGTTGACCAGGTCAAGGCACCTGTTTTTTACTCCAATCTTCATATTTCAAATTCTGTGGTCCAGTGTGTAAAGCTTTGTTTGTTTGTTTGTTTTTAAATTTAAGCTGGAGCTGAGATGATACCACACCTCCCTGGGAGAGGAGGCGCAGCAGGAACCGGCCAGCAGCAAGGGGGACGTACGTGGTGGAAGGGCTGGGGTGCCTGCAGGGGTGCATAGGGTTTCCATCCCTCCCCGAGCCCGAGGAGGGAAATGCGAGCTCAGCCTTGAGCCAGGGGAAAGCCAGGTAGGGCTGGGGTTTGGGGACAGCCCTTCTTGGTTCCTCGTTAGACCCAACAGACGATGAGGCCGGCGAGATGGGCAGTGCTCGCCCTGTTCCCAGCCGCCAGCATCGCTCGCCCTGGCTCCTGCTCCCTCCGTCGCTCTGTTCCTCCCCCAAACCTGTGGGTTTTTTAATCTCTGTTTTTAAGTGCCAGCTCTTTAAACAGAGGGAAAATAATGCATTCATTAGCCTTCTCCCTCAAACTGGGGCTGCACGTGGGTTTGCGGGGTAATCGCTCACGGGCCCAAAGCAAGCACTGGCTGCGTTATCTGGCGAACAGCGTTGAAACCCGGCCGCTTCCCAGCATCATGAAGCTGCACGCGTTCCTCCTGCATCCAGCTCCCTGGAAAACAGCCTAAAAACCTCCCCAGCAGCAAAAGCCTGGGGCATTCCCTTCCCAGCCACCAGGCTGGGTTTTGGTTTTTTTTTTTTTGAAGCTTGTTTGGCACGAGGTGCTGTTAAACGAGAACAGCCCCTGCCGGGTTGCAGGCGCGAGCACTGGTTGGATTAAATCTTGAGTTGTGGCACAAACATGGTTTCACTCTTAGCTGCCAGCTCGGAGGGGAAACCATCATCAGCTCTGCAGAACAACACGAGCTCCTCAGGCAGGACGATCAATGCCAGCGGATTTAATTTCCTGGCCAAAAATTAAATGTAGATTTAATAGAGATACCTATGTTCTTGGGAAAAAAAATAAAAATACAAGAAGTATCTCCTTATTGCAAAGCTCCGTGATCTCTAGGATGCCCATCGAGTGCAGAGGAACCACGGCGGGGTGAGCGGAGCATCTCTGGCAGCTTCGGTCTCCCGGGCGGGCTGCTGCCCTGGCACCGGCGCCAATCCTGCTGCGCGGCCATGCACTCCTGCACCGCGTAATGCTGCGCCGCGCAGCCCGTCCGGGCCACCATTGCGTCCACGGGGTCCTCTTCCTCCTCCTCCTCTTCCTCCTTGGCCGGCCGGCTCCACTTGTGGCCGGGGTGGCCTGGCCCCGCCATCCCCTCGGATCCGGAGAGTGAGGCTGGATGCAGAGAGGAAGGCGTCAGGCACCGCTGCCCAGCGCCATCTGGGCGTCATGTTCCCCTTGCAGGATGCCCAGCACCTTCTGGGCACCCTCCAAGGTGCCCAGCACTCCCTTATCTCCATGGGTACCCAACAACCCCATGCACCACCTGCCCTATGGGTGCCCAGCACCTTCTGGGCACCCTCCAAGGTGCCCGCACTCCCTTATCTCCATGGGTACCCAACAACCCCCATGCACCACCAGCCCTATGGGTGCTCAGCACCTTCTGGGCACCCTCCAAGGTGCCCGCACTCCCTTATCTCCATGGGTACCCAACAACCCCCATGCACCACCTGCCCTATGGGTGCTCAGCACCCCCTTATCTCCATGGATACCCAACAACCCTATGCATCCCCATGAGTACCCACCACCCTCCATGCAACCCCCAGGGTGCCCAGCACCCTCCATGCAGCCCCACCAGGTGTTACAGGCAC